TTTTCGAGATAAAAAAATGCAATAGATTTGCTGGAAAATGTATCTGTGTGAAATTTTGCTCAACATTATTTACGGACTTTCAGCTTCATGCTTGATGTGTGTTAACTATTGGAGAAGCTACTGAGAGAAGAAAAAGTGTTCAAATGATAATTAGATTCCTGTTCTTTATCTAAAGGGATACTCTATACCACTGATAATGATAATTAGCTTGTTCCTTCAGCGTAATTAAAACTTGGGATAATCTGACTTTTATTTTCACTAAAGAAGATCTGACCTTAGCGCCAAAGAGACACACACACACACAAAAAAAAAAAAATGATCAGGCAGGATATTCAGTATAGAATCAGTTTATTGGTAACCTTATTTTATCTGAATGTATTTGTTGAAGGACACAGTTTTGCGTGCATCACATTGAACCTGCATTGTATCGTTATCACCTTGACTCTGACATGTTCTGATAAAGGACAAAACATATATAAAATTGTCTAAAATAATATTTTTATATGACCCAGCTGATCATGGGGTAAATATGTTGCATAATTTTCCTCAATTTAAAGGTCAAATGGTTTTCTTGGATTCTGGTGTGTATTATCAGGCCTGAAAATATCAGCAATGAAAACGTAATTATGATAAAATTTTAAATTGTATGAACGGTTACAAGAGAGAAAGGCCATCTTTTGCCAAATTGTCACAGTWTAAATGATAATCATGTGTCACTAAACTGCTGTATTACCCTTTTAAATAAGTGCTCATTACATCAATAGAAAATTATTTCATCTTAAAATAAAAATACACAGTCTAAACCGATCATTAGCTTTTTATTTAGCTGTGTGAAAGAAATGAACAAATAATTTTTTTTATTTAAAAGTGGATATTTGTCACATAAATCACAGCTTGTGCTAATCAGAAAGATATCAAAACCAATTAAGTGTCTCAAACCTTCAAGCTTTCTCAAGTTAAAGATAGTCTAGCAATTGCTTTTGTCTTGCTTTTTATTCACATTTCTTCATTAAATACAGATTAATGCACACAAACGTCAGTGTCACAGTGCCTCTTTTCTTATTAGAAAATAAACTCCYGTATGAAAGACAATGGAATTTAAACATTATTCAGCATGTGTCACCTCTTTTCAGAAAGGAGCACATTTTCTGCACTTAACTCGAGTTGATTGTGATTACGCCACACAACATCTAGCAGCCTGTTGACCTCTGAACTGTTGTGGACTGATTGCCCTCATCGTGGTTCCCTGCAAATCAATTATTGAGTTTCAGGCACAAACATTCAGACGCACTGCAATCCATGGTTGTGTCTGGAAGGATTTCTGCTCCATGTTGAGGAGCACTCAGTCATGCATAGTACATGACTGAGAGGAAAAAAAAAGTGGTCAAATATTCCACGCAGCAAACTTCACTTTGAAAAGCTTTGGTGGTGAAGGACTGAGAAATCACACTGACAGGCTGTATGTCAAATACATACTGGGGAGAGAGAGACTGGCTCTGCTTGGATATTCTGGTAGCAACTTGCTAAAGGATGGGGATGACAGTGGCAATAACAAGTCAGGCAATGATCAAGGTCAGTGATGAAAAAAAGGGGGGACTAGTGGTACTTTTCTGAATTTGTGTAATAAAAGAGATAAATCTGAAATTTATACTGGATTATAAGTAGTTGATGTACAAAAAATAAATAATTAAAAGGAGGTGACAGAGAAAGCAGAACAGAGGATCAGCAATGCAGAGTTGAAATTGCTAAATAATTCAACACATCAGTATTTCTATGCAAATGTTGCAACTCGTTGCACCTGTCATAAAAGAACATAATCAAATATAAGCAATGACCACATGCAAGCACGAGAAATTATTCATAGGGTGTTTGTTCCTAATTATTTTTAACAYAGAAATATAGATGAATATAAAATATAATGCCTTTAACACCCCTCCTCTAAAAAACAAGGGCAATTCAAAGGGGAATATTTTTTTAATATGCCACCATCCCCCAGCCTGCATTAATGCTCGCTATAATGTTTACATATCATTTTGTATATGCTGTTTGTGTTGTGATGATAGCACTTAGCGGATGCAATTTGTTAATCAGTGCAAATGCGTTTATGGGAAATATTTGTCGCGTTGAGGTTTTAAAGGTTTCATCCCTTTTTGAGCCGCAGAAATTGTTTGGTCTTATCAAATTATATGTCTATTATTGTAGCAAGTGGGAAATGGTTTGCCTGCATAATAAGCCCTGATGTGGTTCRTGTTAAATCCTTCATAATTGAAGCAATGTTGTGTGGTGTTTTTAGACTGTCAGCTTTGTTTGTGTATAAACGGCTGGTCAAACTGACTGTGATTTTTTTTGCTGTCTGTTTTTTATGCTTTCAACCAAACAGAATACACATTGTAACGCTTTTTTATTGYAAATGATCAAAATAAACAAGGGTGCAGCAGGATCGTACACATAACACACCCGTAAATATGTGAGACGACAAGAAGAAGTTGAGCGTTGAACATCATAATCATAATACAAGAACTAAAAGCACTTCAGCATAAACTGACAGCATGGCCGTTTTATGTGTCTAAATACTTAAACAGAGCTGTAATAAGAAGAGGTGACGCAACACAGTTATAAACATGCTCCTGTTCCAAATATTTTCATAGTATTCCAGGCACTGAATTCAAAACAACCTAGTAAAAAAAGTTACAAAAAATTAATGAGAATGATATATTTCTTGATTTTACGGCTACATTTATGCTATTYTTAAAGGATCAAAACCAGGACAGTTAGAAACTCCTTAATAAACCCACACGTGGCACCAAATAAATCTCTTGAGTGTGAATAAAGTGTTTTATTATGTCATCAATGAATCACTTCATTTAAAGAGCTTTGGATTTCAGTGTTGAGATCTCTACTTGAAGCCTTTCATATTGGGTGAACTGCTGCTTCATGAAGTGCTCTTTCATCATTCACACTGATTTCTAATCTGTTTTCAGATTTCATTTGTCACCTTCTGTAAAGCCGCCACAAAGACGACGCTGCAGTGAAAAGCAAAGATTAACCT